AGGTTTATGATTCCTCAATTTTAAAATGTTTTCTCAATTTAGGAAACAGACTGGAAGGCAGCCTATGATTTCATTGATGTAGATGACACCGTGAAAGAGGTTGACTGGGCTGAACCAGGAACTGAAGCAGGTCTGAAGATGCTGGAGGAGTTTTGTGCACAGAGATTAAAGCATTTTGCTACATCAAGGAATGACCCAACAAAGAAAGCTATTAGTAACCTGTCACCTTGGTTCAATACAGGTAAACTTTTTTCTTATTTAAAAGTATGGAATGAAATCTTGAACACGTTTTTTGAAAAAAAATCTTTAGTTAGTGATGCTGGCCCATTTTCTGAACACACAACATCCAAAGCAACAATCAAGCCTTTTAACCACTGGGCCATAGGGTACTCATTTGGTGAGTGAGGCCTGTTTTGAAAAGCGTTAAAGAACGAAATTGTTATCTATTTGCAAAAATGATAATAACAATAATGTTCAAATATGCTGAAAATGTATTATACACCCTAGGCCTAATGATAGCACTTAGCTAGGGCACCACCTAAGTTCCCCACCCCACCAACCCATCCTATTTCTACATTGTCTTACACTATTAGGTACACGCTAAAATATCATTCTGCTTCACTTTGAAACATTTTTTACAGCGCTATTCACAAAATTATAATATCTAGTTAACCCCCTCAAGGAGCTCTAGCTATCTGGCTATCGTAAAATCACAAGCATTCATTGTTGAACTTTTTTTTTTGTCACTCACTCACTCATATATTCACCCATCCGTCCATCCATTCATTCATTTAATTCATCCATCCAACCAACCAACCAACCATCCTCTTCTTTTTTTTCCAGGTCAGATAAGTAATCAAAGGACAATCCTCAAAATTAGGGAGTTCAGGGGCAAGTACAAAGAATCTGTAGAAAGCTTCATTGAAGAGAGTGTGGTTCGCAGAGAACTTTCAGAAAACTTTTGCTACTGCAATGACAATTATGACTCTATTGATGGGACAAATGACTGGGCTAAGAAGACCCTTGAAGACCATGCTGGGGATAAGAGAGAGCCTCTGTATGACAGAGAAACCCTTGAGACAGCCAAGACTTATGATGACCTGTGGAATGCTGCTCAGGTAAATAAGCCATAACATTTGCACGGGTGGATCCAGGAGTGGTAAAGGGGGTGACTATTCACTCCCCTTTTGCTCAAATTTCTCAGTATACTTTAAGTAACAGTTACCCCCCTTTTGCYCAAATTTCTCAGTACATCATTAGTAACACTTGACCCCCCCCCCCCTCCTTGCATTCCTGGTAAAACCTTTGTAATAGTCACCCCCCCTTCTAAAATTCCTGGGTCCGCCCCTGCAAGGTTTTTTTTTAGCAAGGTTGTTGAAATTAAACTGGGTGGAGCTTGCACTGCATTTAGGGGACATACAGTGTTTCCAAGATGCTATCTTGTTTGGCTACCAAAAAGGTGTTGTTTCAGAACTTGTAAATACACAAAAATACTTGTACAGTCTTCCAACTCAGAAACTACTCTATGTGTAGTCCCTTAGAAGTAACATATTTTACTTTCGTTTTTGTGCCTGAAACTGCTATGACTTAGAACMAATTTTCAAGTTTTCAGTCACACATTTTATATAACTGGCGGGGGGAGGGGGATATAATATAAACAAAAAATATATATAAATGAAAGGGATTTACAGTGTAACTACTATAACCAGGGCCACCTAGCCAGCAAGAACCAATCAAATCATAAAATGAATTAGAAAACAATACCAAGATAGRCTGCACGAGAATCGTAATTTGACCCTGATGTTATAATCATGTAAACAACTAGATAGTTTGATCGCGTTTTTCTTTGTCAATAYRTAACGTTTTTCATTTCYCTGAGGATGGCCGAGTAAGCTRAAAGCTCAGAACATATGTATTAAATCTATGGTTGATAAGACAAATTATCATGAATGTAACAACCATTTACAAGGAACTATTTGATTTAACTAGATAGCCATTGGTATTTCCTTATGCTTGAAAGGCTATTGTTTTCTGCTAGTTTCTTATTGKCTYGACTACCCAAAGTTGGAATGTATTGTTTTCATTCTACAATTTGATTGGTTCTCGCTGTCTAGGTGGCCACAGTTATAGAAGTCGCACTGTAAAGGAAACTGATTCAAACAGCATTCAATGACTGTAATACACTTTGTATAACATTGTTATAAAAGGTTTCTATTTACATCTTCCAGAGACAGTTGGTATGTGAAGGCAAACTACATGGCTTTTTGCGYATGTATTGGGCAAAGAAGATCCTTGAATGGACCAAGTCACCAGAAGWTGCTCTGGCTGATGCGATATATTTTAACGACAAGTATGCCTTGGATGGTATCGATCCTAATGGATATGTTGGTAATGTTATGTGCTGTCCTTCTAGGTCTATCATTTTATCCATCCATCCTATCATTTTATCCATCCATCCTATCATTTTATCCATCCATCCCATCATTTTATCCATCCATCCCATCAATTCCACTTTTCGATCTTTTCATCCATTCATTTGTCCAACCTTGCTTCTTTTCTCACAATCCATCCCATTTATCCATCCTACATTCATTCTTTCATTCATCTRTCCTTCCTTCATCAATATTTCCAAGATGGTGTGTATATTCTGTCCCCCATTAGACTTGCTCCAAGTCTCACTCGCTAATTTTTTGCCGTTGCAAACTCAGATTCAAATTGTGCACTTCCGGTTACAATGGCTTTCTAAAGGTGATCGAAACTTGTAAAACTCGGCACCTTGGTCCCAGAAGTCACTGTAATGCCAACTCAACCCTCAAGAAAACAAAACAGTAAAACTCAACCCAGTTTTCCCCCTCAACTTTGGAAGAGCCAATACAACCAACCCATTCTCTTGGTTTTCCAATCTTATCCCTTTCCATCAATGTCATCCCATCTCATTCATCTCATTCATCTCATTCCATTCATTTATAGAATAAATCAGGGGCTGAAGTCATAACACCTGTATACCTCCCATCTTTTATATTTACATTTCTTCCATCTTCTTCTAACATTCTTGTGTTTTTCATTCCACAGGGTGTATGTGGTCAATATGTGGYATTCATGATCAAGGTTGGAAAGAACGACCCATTTTTGGCAAGATACGATACATGAACTATAAAGGCTGTCAAAGAAAATTTGATGTTGCAGCATTTGTTAAGCGCTATAAACCTTAGTTATAACCGTGATGAATACRGAGTTTGTTCATAGGTGTGTCACTAGAGCGATTTTTATGAACCTGTGAAATTTGAACCACAGCCTATTGTAAATATATTTGTTTCAAAATACCAAGGGGTTTTGAAATAACCCATGAAATTCCCCATGGCCCTGGGCAGTCCAGACAAATTTTTGTGACTTATCTCTAAAGGTCATAAAATACTGCCATTTTTTGGGCAATTTACTCAGTGGATAGCCTTATTTCAGTGTCTAAAAATTCACAAACACCTCTGGTAAAGTAAAGAATGCACAACTCCAGCAATACATACCCTTTGGAATAATTACACTGGCCTCCACTTGAACACATGAATATTCTACAATAATTCGAAGGTAACCCCTGAGTAATGGAGAACTCAAAACTGAAATATTTGTTTTCATGCATTCTGAACCTGTCCTTAGTTTTATATTAGTAAGACGTTAAATATTGATGGATAGAAAAATTGTTTTCAAAGGAAGAAAAAAATGTTGGTATTAAAATGTTTTACATTAAATATGAAAATGACAGCTAAGACATTTGCTCTGTTCTTATATTTTCTTTATTTTACAACATTACCTACCTACATGTAATACATATAAATATCAAGTTGTTTTTTTATGTACACCTTTCAAATTGCACTGTTAGGAGTACGAGACAGACATTTCTTTAAAGATTGTCAACGTTTCTAGATGGGTATTAACATATTTTATGAACATCCATTTATTAGGATGCTTTTTATAGGAAACTCTAGCCAGTCATTTTCTCTTTTTTTATCATTCATTCTTAACCTGAGTTACAAATGCACATATACCTTAGTTGTATATATATTTTTTATATTAGACTTTCACCTTGTGAAGAATATCATTCTTTTGACACCTAGCCCAAGACACCTAATTCCTATTCAATTTTCATGTTAGCCATACCTGACATTTTAGAGGTGGTTTCAGGTTATCGACAAAATTGAAAATAAAAAATAAAATGCACATGGTCTGTAATAGAAAAACATTACAGTAACATTACAGTAACATTACAATTAAGTTCCTAAAGTTAAATGATCCCCTTGTTGTTAGAATGAATCTTTCATAAAAACGTTTCCAATAGCCCACTTCTCAGTTAAAATGCTTCTCTGGTCACGCACAAAGTTTTCAATGTGAGACTACATGGAGGAAAGGAGAAAAAAAAACTAATTAAGCACAGAGCCTYGTACTGAAACCTTTACATATGACAAGCGAAGCACGTCTTGGAGGTGGGCTATGATTTGGATGCAAGAGAGGTTACAACTCGCAAGTGGGAGTGAGTGTATACATGTAGGTAAAGCATACATGTTGTATGTGTGTACATACAAACAAAGGCATTGGCTCCAAAGAATATTTTACACAAGGTCTAGAAAAGATGGATGGTAGTTTTTGTCAGCTTCATTCACAAGAATCAAGAGAGAGTGTATCATTCATTTTTATTGCCTACTGTGCCCAATGCCTGTCCAAATTTAACCTTGTCTCCTGCTTTGACATTAAACCTAAAGTCCTTTGGTGCCTCAAAGATGAGAACAATAGTTGATCCCAAGTTAAATCCTCCCATTTTCTGTCCTTTTGTGAGAGAGAATCCCTCCATTCCTGTGGTTGACAGCAATTTCTCTATGAAGCTTCCTGGTATATATTTTCCAGAAATATTGGTTTTCAGTTCCTGGATAAGACARTGACTTGGTTATAATTTTCTTAATAAAACAAATTCACGTAATACATTAAAAGGGGTAATACTGAAAATCAGATGGCACAATATAGGATACTTGGTACATAAATATAAGAAATTACACCATCTCAAGTGCACTTTGGAATCCACAGGTACAAGTGATGTCTTGAAAGTTTTCAAAATTGAACGAGCCTTTAGGTGAGTCTAATTTGAGAACTTTCAAAACATCACGAGTATCTACAGTACATATAAATTCAGAATCATATGAGAAGATTGTGYGATTTTTTGTTTATAATACACTCAAAAAAAATTGAGCAACTTAATTGGGACTCTACAAAGTACAATTTGGGATTTAATTGTACTCCTCTTGTCCAATCAGAATTGTGTAATTTTGTTGAGTGTACATATTATAAATTTAAAAAAAACACAGATTAAAGCATAAATGGAAGCCATGAATATTTCCTACCTCATCAAAATCAACATAGATTGATCCAACATTGCTTGCACCAATAGCGGCATAGGCAAAGAAACCATATTCCCAGGAACCAGAGAGTACTACACGTTCATTATAATTGAATAAACCCTTAATGATTCTTTGAATGCTTGGACTGACTGATAAAAGTTCTCCTGAAATAAGGGGGAAAAAAGGTGAATGATCAGGTGTTTGAATATAACATTTCATTTTAACAAGAGACTGTTCTCATTCCAAACAACGTGTCATTACCTAGAGTATCATTTCTCTATTTAACTGTTGCACATTAGTAGATAATCTTATTATGTAGTTCTAGAAAATATCCATACCTCAACCATTGAGGAATTTGGAAATTCTGGAGGGGAGGGGGTCAGAGAAAGAACAAAATTACAGAGTTTGTATGGAAGAAATTTAGAAGTTCCTGGGGTCCTTTTACAAATTCCCTCTGGGGTGGGGGTATGGATATTTTTTGGAAATACACATTCTCAAGAAAATGTCTGAAATGGAAAAATATTATACCCAAGGTAAAATACTGTCCAAAAGCTATAATAATGTGAAAGGAGTCAAAAATTCCAAAGTCCAGGTTTATTTCCAGGAAATAAAYCTTCCATTATAAGTTAATACAAACCTGGAAAATGTCTTCTTGTTTTGACCGTCCACTCGGCAGGGGAATGAAATGAATGGTAATCACCAGGTCCTAGGTATAACACACAATGGAAAAAGTGTCTCTTGTCCTCTGATGAATGTTCTGTAATAGCAGTTTTGGAGCAAGGATGGTTTGGACCAAGAAATGTTGTTAAATCATAAGTTATTCCTTTGACTTGCTCTACAGTATCACCAACGACTTCACCATGATGCATAATATAGCCATCAGCTGGGCTGGTCTGCAATATATACAAGTATATACAATACACGTATATTAGAATCATAATATAAGACTTAAACAGGTTGACATGTAGGAAAAAAATATGAAAGAATATGTATATACAGCTATTTAAAAAAAGTTTTTATTGCATGTTGCATGCTCCTTTCCAAACTTGAAATGTACTATATTCATAAGTAAAAACAGCCTGTTTAATGTCAGCAAAGAAAATATGCTGGAAAAAATTTATGACAAAGTTTGTAGGGAACATTTAATAATATTTAATATGTGACGTTCTGCTGATTGTGCTCCCATTACCCATAGTGCATTCTTGACTTGGGGTGCGGCAAGCAACATGCAACAAAACCAGTACACCAATCTTTTTTGAAATAGCTCAATAATGGTTGACATGAAAAACTTAGGTTCATTATTACTGTACATGACCCAAGAAACAAGGTGTTACTGTATCCGAGGTTTTCATTTTCCTTCAGTCAAATAACAGATGGTCTGCCCTAGCATTTCTTTAATTGACKGAAGCCAAAAACCCATGTAATTATGAAAGTACATGAGAGTCCATGAGAGTCAAACACTTACCAAAACAGCTGAATGGTCAACTGGCCTAACATCAGGTTTAAGTTGACGTCTAAAAAATGCTCCTAAATTTGGATAGCTTTTTATATCTTCTATCTCTGCTTCAGCTAAATTACACGAGAACACCCAAGAATACAACCCAATGACTGGCCATCGCATAAATACTGGAAGGTCATAATTATTCACTTGACCCCAAAGCCGAGAAACTGCCCTCATTGGGAATTTTCTGTATAATGCTACCTGAAAACACAATAGAACACATAATAGAACATAGAAGTTTATGTCTCAGACTTTTGCGACACCAAACTTGCAAGTTTCACATGTGAAATCTTATAGTTGGCACAATTCACTAACAACTATTAAGTTGATAACTCACTGGTGTCTGCAAGACATGAACCAGCGACCCAACCCATAGGACACACAGTGATGAAAGGCCAATGTTTTTTTGTATATTAGAACAATTCATAAAGTGCTATTGGATAGTGATAGAAATAGCACTATATAATAATCATCTGCATCATCAACATTATCATCATAAAGTGAACTTGTGAACTTAAATTATCATCATCATTATGATATCATCTTATCATCATCATCATCACCATCACCTTCATTGTTATGAGATAAGTAGAAATTGTGTTTTTACCTGCCATTGATTAGCAATCAAATCTTCAGGATCACCACTTGCAATCTTCCTGTTCTCTCGCTTCTTAATGTGTCCATATTGTTGATAGCAGATATAAGCAAAACCAACACTGGCAGGAATACTGAACCATTTTAGTGATACCCAATACCTTCTAAATCCACTGATAAATCTCCAAGAACCTGGAACACGTAGATCTTATTAGCCACTATAAAATTTGGTAAATAATCTTACAAAATTGTGCAAATTCATTTGTACCCTTCTGTTATATAGAACCTAGCAAGCTAAGTTGCAAATTCGAACTGTAACTTAGCCAAATTTAAAATAGTAAGCTTATATAAAACTTATAGTAACTAAGCTCAACATTTAGCGAACACTATCTACACTGTACGAACGAAAAGCATTTCAACTTTTATTCGAGACATATATTATATGAAATTTAAGTATAGTCATAATTCTTTTTGTAAATGTGGAATCAAATTGAAAATTTATCAAATATCTAGCAAAGTTTACTAGAAAAACGAAGTATAAAGGGCAAACCTGAGCTTGAAGTATCGGTGTGTGCTGATCGAGGATAATTACGCAATGGGTTTACTCGTCCAGAAAAACACGAGTTTTGTGCTCCACAACCACAAAATGAGCTAAATCGAGGTATTTCTTTGATTTTTAACAGTTGGTTGATATTACTTGGCCGAAATAAAGGCATATTTTTGGCCAAAATCGAAATCCACTTTTTTACAAACGCAGACGAGAAACGTGCAGTAATACAGAATAACCGCTGAACTATGAACCGAGAAAATCCACAGGTAGCCCAAATATATGTAACATCAATAACGTATAGAAAAACGACTTCCGCGTTCAAAACGAAAAACAGTTCTATCCTTTTTTCTTATTTTTCCTTCAAACAGACTTTGCTGTCCAAAGTTCTAATCCTTTCAGGTGGAGATAAAACCTCAGCACAATTTAAAAGTGAAATTGGAATACATACCATGGGGTTGCGCATCTCCAAACATCCTGGACCAATAAGGGGCACTACAACTGCTAAAGAGCACGTAACTGAACAGAATAAGCACAACTACTTGGGTATTGAATCGCAGGTCGCAATTCATTCCAGGCATTACAGCGAAGGTCCTATGTTGAAAACAGATTACAAGGATTATATTTAGGGAATATCGAAGGAACGGTACATACGAGCGAGCAGCGCAAAGATAACCCTAGCTACAACCTTTTTAGCCTGGGCGTATTTTTTAAAGAGAGCATTCATTTTTTTAGGAGGGGAGGGGAGGTGACGGGGTGGGGGGTGTTGGCCGGAGGAATGTAAAATTTGTAATCTCCTTTTTTCTGACTGCATAAAAAAGTGACCCTCGATCCCCTTGAAATTTGATGAGTTCTTGACCCTCCCCTTTATGTAGTATGAAAGAAGAGTGAGATTGACTTGAACAGGTGAAAACAAAAGCTATTACACAGAAACAATGTGCTTTTATTGGCTGACCTACTAGTGAAGAAACGCGAAAAAAAAATTTATTATTTCAACCTAGTTTCAAAATTGTTTGTATCCATTTTTGGACCAATTCAGGCAATCAGAGGCAATATTTTTATATTGAAAAGATTAGACCTTTCGCTCTCACGGTCTATGTAGCTACGAGTCGTTGGCCACAATTTTGTGTAGAACATTATTCTTTCACGTGTTCAGTGATGGTCCGTTTTGACACTGAATTGAGGCTAACCTTGAATGACCTTGAGTATTTTACATGTAAAATACATACACACCTTGTATTGTACGAATTTTTTAAAACATAAAGGTCTATTCAGTGCTAGCGTTTTCTCAATATCTGTATTCATAGCTATTTTCTAGTAAATTTCAAACCAAATCGAAAACCAAACCAAAATAACTAATGATTTGTTGGTAATACTATTTTGTCCAGTGCCCACTCTGCGCCCTTTGGTTCACGGACAAGTGCTATGCACAGGTTGACTGATGTGATATTATACCTGACTCATAAAAACGGAGCACCTTCCATTTCTCATTAAACAATTTTCGACAAACCTTACCAATACTCTGAAAATCATATAGGGTTTATATATAGGGAAGTATACGAGTGGCGTAGCGGTGAGAGCGCTCTCAAATGTGGTTCGAGTCGTCGTTTGCGAGTACTGTAGAGTTTCTATCTAGTTGGTTTTCGCATGTGCAGCTACCTCTCGTAAAGACGAGGACCGGTTTTTTGCGCTCATGTGATGATGGAAAAAATATTTAAAAAGTGTCAGACTATCCCCTGAAAATTATCTCAAATATCCCCCAGTATTTTTCCACACCCGTGATGAATTGTAAATACATTCGTTTCATTCGGTAAGCTCATTTGCATACGGATACAAATATTTGGATTGATTTCTAAGGTGTGCTTGTAGAATTCGTACATCGATTATAAACATTGTAATAAAATTATACTTTCACTTTTACCTTTATTTTGCCTTCATTAACCCAGATCTTGAGAACGAGAGCCGTAGATTGATTCCAGCAGCAAAACGAATGTAGAATTTGCATTGATCTTTATACTGATTTTTTCTTGCACCGGCCAAGATTATCGTTCTCGAGCTGGACTGATCACAGACGCCGGCTACAGTACTACTTGCTCGTCTGGTTGAAGCTCGAATTATCTTATGGAATAATAACACAGAAGTATTGGACATAGAATGATTCTACTTCTAATATTATGGCTTTAGAGGGAATTTTAATGGAAATACGAAACGGACATTACTAAACGAGATCAAAAAGCTTGAAAATAAAACATTCAAATTTGCACTCATTTGATATTCTAATTTTTGAGGTGGTGTGATCCAATCACGTGATCAAAGCATGCAACCTCCGTGCTTCAGATGCCTTAGATAGAGACGATTCAAAGTCTAAACTGGTTTTTATACTTCTAAACCTCCTCTTTATCAAGAAAAARAGCTGTTATTGTATCCTTTTCCTATATAATTTCTTCTAAAGCTTACTTAAGTTATGAACTACTTTTAAGTAGCCTGCGCTGCATCCGGAATTTTCTGTCGTAAAGTTTACGAGTAAACGTTCGGAGGCACGCAGGCTACTTTTAAGCGGTTATCTCGACATTTGCACTCGGGAAGAAAATCAACTCTACGGAAATACTATTTAAAAAAAAAAACCATGGAAGCGATATTCAAGACCAAGTGATATTCATGATTTTAGTGAACAAATCCTGCCTTAAAAACGTAAGAAAAATATTTATAGACTGTCTTTTGTTTTGGAGTCGGAAGTGTTTTTCATACGAATGTCAGACTACGGGTCACCCAAACTCTGTTTCCGTGGTCAAATATTAGAGGTATAACACCTATTTCAATAAACTTTGTTTCCTTGAATACGATGAACATTGAATATAAATTCTCAAAACTAAGGTCCATGTTCTTGACGAGAATAAGAAGCAGAAACACAAGTAATTCTAAGGGCGGATCCAGCCAAAATTTGGGGGGGGGGGGGGGGGGGAGCTAATTGAGTTTCTTCCGTCAACACAACGGAAAACAATCAGGAAAAACGTCTAATTTTTCAGGGTTTTTTTTTCTTTCTTTTTTTCTGCCAGTACATGACTATGTATTTTTCAAGGATTATTAATGTAAATTCGAGGACATTTTCATAAAAACTAATGACTTTAATCAAGAGAATATGGAACTAAGATTAGTTTATTTTCTCTTGCTTTAATTTCAGGGGCAAATGACAAAAAAGTCAAATTCAAGGGGTTTTGAAGGGCCTATTGCTCGACCCTGTTCTCGTGTTTATTTCCATAAAAAGTTCAAATTAGTGCCACTCAAACGAAAACCGCCGATCTAATTTTGGTACGGATCGTAGGAAGGGATGAAAGATGCAAGAAGCCGAAAAACCTTTGAAACCTACGGCGATTTTAAATGACGACGCCCATTCTTTATAATACATTTTTCTAGTTTATTGTCATAATTTTTAATGAAAATTTCTACAATTAAATTTCATAAAAATTCAGTATAAAATAAAATTTCAGTTGCACTGACTCTACTAACCCTTTGTGTTTGAGTAACATAACCAACCTTGTCCCCAGAACCACACAGTACATTTTAGTCGAGCTCCTAAAACGAGGACCTTTCTCACATGACAGCATTAGGGCGTTTCTCAGATAACCAGGGCTCGAAATAGAAAATAAAAATTTTCCAGGCATTTTATATTTTTTGGTAGCAGAAATAATTTCCACTTTATCTTCTAATTAGCATTCAAAATTGTCTAAGCCTGCCAGTAGTAAAATTTGACCTGCATTTCGTCCATTAGAAGGCAGCTATTTCGAGCCCATGATAACGAACCCAATTTTTATTCATCAAATTATGATTATACGGTCTTGTTTGACTGAAGCTATACCACAATGCATCTTGTTTATCAAACTCAGAAAAGACCAATGAAATCACTTCAAGGGAAGAATTGCCCTATTTCACTATGACGTCACTGCTTGTTTATGTGGGGGATAGAATCGTCAAATCCAATAGAAAATTTGCTCCTAGCGAAACAGTTTAATCAAAAATGGCCTGGTTTTCAGATATAATATGTGTTAATATGTACTAAAAAATATTCTGGGCGTTTGATACGGGTTTTAGAACAATTTTCGGTGAATTTGCGTTGATTTGACCTCGTCCGACGACCATGATCCTTTGCGTTTAAACAATAGATTGTTTTGATGTGACGTCATAGTGAAATAGGCGGTTACCACAGGTGCAAGAAAGGCCCATAATGACTGGTTAGGAGACCCATCACACCTTACAGTACAGCTGTTCTCAATAGCACGCGCGGAATCGTCGTTAAGGTTTTTCTTGACATTGCATATAGGTATGAACCCTTCATAATTTTGACCTCTTTCTCTTTTACTCCGACGAAGGACTAGCGTACGAAACTTCAGTAAGTTTTTTCATCTTTTCACGGTGTATAATTTACCTTTTTATCATTACTCCTTAATAACTTGGGTTTTTTTTAAACATGTCTTACTATTCGTTCAGGAGCTTTCGCCGAATAGAGCAGGTGCATGTTACGTCATAGCTGGGCCATGTTGGTTGACGATAACAAAGTGTTTCTCATTAGCTTCTCTTGTTAGATCAACCAAGATGGCGGCTGTTTTGAGTCACGTGGCTGTACACACTCTATTAGTCGAATACCGCTGTGTTGCTTGAACACAGACTCGTTTGTAATAATAATAATAATTTATTACATGCACTTATATTGCGCAATTATCAATGTGGGGAATTTTCAATTGCGCATAATTGTTTATTGTTTATACAGGGTTAGCCTCATGTCAGTGTCCAAATATTCACAAATTCCAATGATAAAGTAAAGAATGCACAACTTCAACAATACAGACACCTTAAATTTCCACGGACCTTGACTGGAACATATGAATATTCAAAATTATCCCATACGAAATTGAGGCTAACCCACAACAGACAAAAGACCCTTTTCGAGTTCCAAATTACCGCTGTGTTCCTTGATTACAGACTCATTTACTCAGGCTTAGCCTCGTATCAGTGTTTAAATATTCACAAATACCAACGGTAAAGTAAAGAATGCACTACTCCAACAATACAAACACTTTGAATCATTGACTGAGACACGTGAATATTCTACACAAAATCGAGGCTAAGCCTGAGTAAATGAGTCTGTAATCAAGGAACACAGCGGTAATTTGGAACTCGGTATTGGGTAAACTTTTCACTCACTCACACACACTACATTGCATTTTCTATCCACACAACACTCAACTCACCTCGTAGCATAGGAGTTCCCTCGCGATTCTTGACAGAGAAGAGCTAGCACATCAAACAAACTCAAGAGTAACTCAAGAGAAAACAACACATCAAACAAACTAAATTTACATATGGAACCCATGCTACCCAATGTCATGGAAAATACTTTGATTGACGTCCAGCAAACCGGCTATTTTGTCGTGTCGGTAAATTGAAATTGTACGATTCAGTAAATTCTATTGAGAACGACTGTAGAAGAAAGGCGTTATCGAATATGAGGACGCAAAAATTTCCAGACTGTCTTGAACGCAAAAAGACAGCATGGACATAAGTAAGCAAAAAAATTAGGAAAGACAGATTAAATAGACAGATAAACAGCTGAATTTTGATCAACTCACTTACAGTTAAGTTTCAAGTTCCTAGCAAATAAATCGCACTTCGAATATATAAATTCCATTTTTTAAGCCCTAAATTGTTTTTTCTTAAAACCTAGCTCGTATCGAACATATTACTTGTACCCGATGCTGCAATGCTATGCTATAGATCTTCAAAAATATAAACATTTTGAAGTATTCTACTACCTTCACTGGGACACATGAATATTCTACACAAGAACGATAATTCCTGACTGGAGTATCATTCGTAGGTAGGCATACTTCGACATTCTTGCAATAACCACGGATAACAAAGCCATCTTTCCCTTGGCTCTAGCTCTAGTCTAAGGGGGAGTGTCGGTACATCCTCTCAAGATTCCGCTTCTCGTATACTAGCAGCAATGCATAAAATTCTGCCATCAGTATCCAAAGAAAATGCCTGGTGTTATGCGCAAGACATCTAGTCATCTAGGTGTTTCTGAACTACTTCAACTAAGTCAGTTCTTTCAGTTTTTTCCAGAGCTTTGATCAGTTTACTTCTTGTTGCATCTGATGCATTCTTGGTTTTCCACTTATGAAGCATGTCGTTGGTCTTTTCTTCTACTCTTTGGGCATTTGCATCAATGACAGTTATTTCATCCTTTGATAAACCAAGATAAGATGCAAGTGTCTTCCAGTCTTTTGGCAATGAACCAGAGAGTTTTGTTATCAGAAAATCTGTAACGTTTTCTGAAACAAAAACCAATTATAAGAGGCTATAATAGTCCCCTTCACAGTTGCAATGATAGAGACATCTCTCTATCACTGCAAGCTCACCGTTTGTTTCGCTTCAATGCAAAGGCACGGCTACCTTTCAAGATGGTGCAGATAACTGTGAAAAGGAACCATTGACCAATAGCAATAGCAATAGCAATAATAATGATAATGATGATGATACTGCTGCACATATTTCATATGCATACGCTCACAGGCACACAAATTTTTGTCCAGGGATTTCATTAAGTTTTGAAATGATAGCGGGTTATAAACTTGCCTTGAGCTAGGCACCAATTTTACCCGTTTCACTCCCGTAGAAATGCTTGCAAACCAACAACTTACTTACAGGGAAGCACGGGTGGCATGCGCTGCTAAGGCGTCGCCTCTCACCAGTGCCACCCAAGTTCGAGTCCTGCCGATCTCGATGTCGTATGTGAGTAGAGTTGTTTGTTGGTTCTCTCCTGTGCTTCGAGGGTTTTTCTCCGGGTTCTCCGGTTTTCCTCCCTCCTCAAAAATCAACTTCTAAATCCTAGTTCAATCTTAGTGCTTTCACCTAGTTGGAGCCTAGCTCTGTTGTGATTGTCCCACGCTGTGATACGACAGCTAAAGCTTAATAGATAGATTTTTTTGAAAGTGGTTCTTCCACAGGTTGGGGGGGGGCATGGGGGGTATGTGTCATAGAACTAATTACCTGAGACAGGTTTTTGAGATTTGCATCTTTGACACAGTAAATCTAGTAAAAAATAAAATGAATTGGTTACTTCAATGTCAAACTATGCTGCACACCGCATGGTATGTACTACACCTTCCATAATGAAGTGGAATTTGTCATAGGTGTTGCTAATAAACATTATGCTGCTTTCCACAGAGTATAATGGTTTAACACAATTCCCTCCCAAAATGGCCATTAATGCTCTGTTTTTAAAGCACCACCCATCCTTTTCCAGGGTATGTGGCCCCTATTAATAACACGGATTCAATAACACCCCCCCCCCACCCCTAAGGGTCTAGTATGGACTGTAAAACACCACAGAAGACAATACAATAAGCATGCGTACTAAGGATGGAAATTTGACTTTCATTTGTTGTCTGGGGGGAGGGGGTTGGAATTTGAAAATGTCAAATTCCCCTGGGGTCACCCCCCCCCCCCCCCCCCCAATTTTATATCAAAGCATTGTATACACCATTTCGGTCTCAGCTTTTATGTTCTATGTTTCTGAACCCGACAATGATTCTTCAATTGAGTGTAGAGGTCGTAAATAAATAGACTTCACACACAAGCGAAAATGTATTCAGCGTATAACAGGAATGATTGATAATTAATTATGGATAAATAAATACAGAATTATGTAAATGAAATACATTACACTAGATTACCTTCAGGTGGAACAAGCAAGTCCAACTCGATTGTTACTTTCTTAATTCTTGATTTCTTGCATCGTAGACTTTTGGGTCCCTGAGCCAACAGCCACTTGCATTCAAAGTGATGAGGTTTGGATTCTTTGCTTTTGACACAATGTGGACAGACTGTGTAAGTGTTCCATACCAAACCAGGCCACTCCTTTAACAATGAATCTAAATCCTGTTGATAAAATACACTTTTAAGCCTGGTTCAAGCAGGTTTAATGTCATTTGCAGGACATTATCACATGACTGTAAGTTACTGGACAGCAAAAAAAAAAGTAATAATAATAAAATTTWAAAAAAAATTAAAACTTCCTTTATTTAAATAACTTTTGCTGTATTACTAATGTCATGTCCAAAACCTTTTCAAAATGCTTTTTTCCCCTTTACAAGATAATTTTGATTTTAAGATACAAATAATTCTAAAGTTAGTTTGCCATTCCAACAGAGCCTTCCCCAAGGGACTCTAGCAGAATTGATTCGTTATCAAAGTGATACATGCACATCAGCATGTGACTGTTGCGAATGCTCTATTGACCTGCAAAAGCCTGGGTCGCTAGCATCTGAATCGGAAGCAGCACGCACAGACTCAGTATCGCATTTATCACCTAGGTGCAAAAAAAGACTAGCACACCCCTGAGTCAGTGTATGATTCTAGGGTGAACCAGGCTTTATTCATTGCGTTACGTTATGGCTGCCTCTTGGGGGATCGTTGGTGCCACTTAACAAAATATTTCATGCAAGGCATCTATAATAATGATAATATACTTCAAAATATTTCATATTAGCATCCACTGTAAAGCCCACCATAATGGCCGCTGTGCTTTTGTCATTGAAATCTCTTGGGAATGCTTGCAATCCATCTATTCTTATGTTCGGACACACTAACCAGAACCATTTCAAAAAAATTTAAAATGAAAAATTATTTAGCCAATGAGGAGAAAGCAAAATCACTATCATATTAACTGCAGCCAATCACAATCACTCATTTGCACATAACTGATCTATGTTTTTTCTCAGATGTCTAGGCTTTGTTGCTTGTTCCTGATTGGTTCAAGTTTGACTTAAGTTTGAATCCTTTGTTTTCACTCTATGTTGTGGTTGGTTGACTTATTCTACAATTAGTGGTCTGCATGGTTAGTGTGTCTCCACAGTAACTTGACTCTTGAAATGTTTTTAAAAAAATCATAAGAAATTTATAGTGACAATGTAACAATAATATTACATTATTCTTGCTAATTTTCTCTAAACTTAATTTTGCAAAAATTTGGCAGCCCAATTTTGAGGGTATTAATTTTCATGATTGCAAGGAAAATTTGAGTAAAAGTGTTCCAATTAGTGTACTAATTTCGCTCAATCTCTTTTTCCCCCATATTAAATTTGGTGATTTTTTTTAAAATTGCAAAAATTAGTAAGAATAATATTATTGCTAAACACATTTTTTACCTCCACAATCTTAAGCAGTCCAGACCAAAGATCTTCTTTGGATTCAGAATTAGTGCGTCCTGTGACTGTAATGCAGGTATCGTGTACTTCTAGGAAGATCTGTATGTCTTTGTCTAGAAAGATCAACATACTATTCTTCCATGTATTGACATCAACTCCAAGAGCATAGCTATGAACACAAAGCCGATCAAACAGGCCTGCTGGAAGGTAGCCGGGGATGGCGTACTTTAGCTTGTATTCAGTCTGTTTAAAAACAAAGGTCATTAAAGTCAATCAATAAATCAATCCAATTTATTCAAGAAGCATACACGTAACAGTTTTCATTGATAAATCTGAGGCCCTCTAACTATAAATTACACATAAGTTTTTAAAAAAGCTATAAATGTACATAAGCTAAAATATAAAAAGCATTATTTTGATTCAGTCCTTTTTTATCAGACTTAAAATTAAGTTGAAATGAAATTGTTAAATTCATCATCATCATCGTCAGTTTAGGGAAATCTGATCTTTACAAAATTTTGCAGTTTTACTATAATCAATGTAACAAATTTGATAGTAAACTCTTTTCCTGTATATTAAATATTTTTTATTGTCCCACTAGCTTGATATAGGTCTATGTACAAGTCACACAAGTGACAGGCCTTGCTTTAATCAACTAAGTAAAGGTTGCAGGAGGTCTGGGGGAATTGTAAAATATTTTTTTCAGGTTCTAGTACCTTCCCTAAAGTAACTACTAATCCCCACTTAACACAATTTTAATGCAGTGTGCAATGTACTTACAACATCACTGTTAGGTGTGCTTGGAAACTTTTCTTCTTTTGCCGTTGGACTTAGTTCGGAGTGTAGAAACCAAGGGATCAATAATTTTTTCTCTTGGTATTGATTCAATGGCAGCTCGCAAGCCAGTCCAAAACGAACTAATGCTTTGATTAGTTTCTGAAATTCTTTTTCATCCAGATTGAGTTCCTTCCAAATGCACCTGCAAAGATAAGGATATTGAATATACCTCTCTATTCACTAAAAGTAAGACATTATAAGATATTCCATTCATCAGAAAAAGGAGTTTTAATATCAAATTTGTTACTACGACAAAAATATTAGTGTGACAATAATAAAACTCCAAAGTTTTGATGCTTCACATTAAGATGTGAACTTTTTGACTCAAAAACAAAATATTATGTATTATCTGGAAATGCTCACACATGCGCAACAAAGAATGTGACACTGAGTTGGAGGCAGTCTCCTTTTCCCCGGTTTATTCTTTGGCTGGATCAGCAGCTGTGTGCCTCCTTTCCTACCTTCTTAGAGTTAATGGCTGATTTCTTTCTCCCTTTCTCCCCTTCCTCCCCTTCCTCCCATTCTTTAATTCCCTCCCTTCCTTCTGTCTCTCTTTCACTACCCTTTGTTTATGACATGCTTTTTCTTTCATCATTGCCGGCATTAGTTATAATGAATAAATGAATAAATAAACAAATAAAATAAAATAAAACAAAACAAAACAAAACAAAACAAAAYAAAATAAAATAAAATAAAGTCATTACCTTAAAAGTATCTCTGACAACACTCCATTGTCAATTAGGTCCTCCACATGTTGATCAAACTTGATTTCCTCCATGTCAAATTCCTCATATTCTTCTTTATATTTCAGGCCAACCCCTTCAAGAATATCATGCCTAAACAGGCACTTTACTATCTGACACAGCCATTGCAGGTCCAGGAACACACTGTACTGATCCGTTCCAATTTCACCATAGAATTTTATCTGGTAAACCAGAAAAAAAAATTAAAATACACAATCGAGTAGAAAATGATTTCAAGATTGTAATCTATTGAAAACTCCACAAAAAGGAAGAGAATGAAATATGTTTCGCTTACCTATGCAGCCCAATTTAAGTAGACCTGCAGGCTTAGCATTGTTCTAAAGCTTAAATTATATGCTCACATACTGTAACACCATAATAGCAGTTACTAGAGGGCAATATATATATGTTACCAATCTGTTTTCCATGCACATGTTTGGATGACGTAAGCCTTACATCAGGATATCAAACCCAGGCAGACACAGAAAATATTGCCTGCTTACACAAACAATCAGATTTTTACGATTCCGGACCAGAAAAAATAGAACTAAAGGGTCATTTTGTGAAGCATATGATTTGACCATTTTTTTCGTGAAATTGACATTTTCATTATTTTGTAAAATGTGATTTTCTTTAACACCTGATTCTAGATGATCTTTTTAATCAACCAAAATAATTCCTTTAGAACCCAGTGTAATTGTACACCCTCTACCATGACGATCTTGTTACTAGGATTTACAATATGCAAAAGAGAACTTTCTCCTTACCTCTCCAACAGAGTCAAGATACTTCAGCACAGCCAAAACTTGGATTCCTGACAAATTTGCCTTACTTAAAGCAAAGTTCTGAAAGTCTTCAAGTGTCATGCAAGGAATATTGGGGAACATGATATCCTTTCGGTACTTCTTGATGGCTTCTTCGAGCACTACCCAAGATTGTGGAAGGTCCCGTCCAATGGAGGGGAACAAATCGTTTACTCTTGCAATTCTTTTGATTTCTTCCTTCAGTGGAATTACTCCATGCAGCTCTTCTTTGGAAGAAACTGGAACTACTGTTATGCAGTTGGCAACTTCTTCTTCCATCTTTTGAAGATTCTTTTTAAGAAAAGTTTGAAAACCCATAAGGCCAAACAAAAAAATAAGTGTGTTTCCTGTTGCTCAACCGACCCTAATTTTCTTGCCGATTTTTGCCGACTCTAATATTTTTTCATTCCCAAATGCACCACAGGGTTCCCAGTAAGCTTATTTCCACTGTTGTATCAGTAAAAAAAATCAGACCTATATACAGACCCCAATTATTATTCTCATGCAACAGGAAACACACTTATTTTTTTGTTCAGCCTAAATAAGACCAAAAACATAAGACCACAATTTAAGCTAAAAATATAGGAATTTTACAACATTTTATTTTCATCCAAAGCCGAGTACAACAAAAGATAGAGGAAAACTAGGCAATGCTGGCTATTGACATTACCCTAGTAAGCAGTAGTAATACTTGTCTATCTAAGTGTTGTTGCAAAATGTGCTTATTTAATCCCACATGACTGATGAAACAGCAAAAAATCCAATTAATTAAGTTAACATGTAAAAACAAAGACTGTTTGAAAAACAAGGAATTTTGCAAGAAAACTAGAACTTCTTGCAGACATGTCCTTTACAAGACATTATTTTATGCTAATAAGGCTGCGTTCATAATGTATGGCGAGGGGGGGCAGGTGAAAATTTGAAATGTCCAGAATAATTCTTAACACCCCCCTTAAAGTCATGCAAAAAACATACGATCCCTCCTAAGCAAGGCTTGTAGCTTCTTCCAAAAATCCCCCCCATTTTTCTGATAAAAATTTGCCCATCCCCCCTTTTTCCTACCAAAATTTTCCTGATCCCCCTCAATTTCACTTGCCCCCCCTCTGTCATACATTATGAACGCAGCCTAACACTTATCAAACAAATTAATTTTTCTCCTACCTTTGATTTTGCTTGATGTGGCTCAACATAAAGCCTTGACGACAAGACAGGTCTGTGTTTCTTCATCATTTTAATGTTCTCCAGCTGAACTCTAACATCAACACCTTTATCTTTAAGGGGACTGCTGTTTCTCTGTAATTTTTTCATTTCAGCATCTAGGCGCTTTACTTTTCTCTTTTCATGGTCCTGTATACGGTCCAAGATATCCTTGCACTTCTCAATTACTTCCTTCTCTTTACATTCATCTTTATGGGTAGGGACTATCATGATGCGAGGCTTCAGAAGACGAGCCGTGACCCACTCAATCCAGTCTTCAACATTTTGTTTAAATGATTCTTTGTTACACTGATACTTCTTCAAGTTGATTACAAGAATATGGAGAGCTTCTGTGTCACAAAAAATAAAAAGCTTTATTATTTACTGCAGTTTTCCATATTCTGCGAACTTGGTACAGTAGTTCCAAGCTGCATGCTGCCATCAATCAAAACTAATCAGTGGGTAATTCTTATGTTCTTGACTGGTTGCAGTGAAAAAAACAATTTCACAACAAGCTGTTGTTCACAAAATATAATGGAAAACCTCAGTAATGTCACAGTAATGGCTATAAATGATAAATATTTCAATGAATTTGGCAACATTTGATGGTTTGTATGGGTTGGTACAATTTAGATGTCTTTTTCTTGTGTGTTATTTCCTTCTGTATTGATGCACTTCATGATTCAGCTACAGTAACCTTCAAATTAATAGAATTTTAAAACGACCTCTAAGCTGTTCTAAGTGAGGGCAAGGCGAACTCACGGATTGATCCTTGAAACAATCTCTGAGCTGCTATTTAAGTCAGGGCATAGCTAACTTAAAGATGGAACACTAAAATGACCTCTGAGTTGACCAAAGCCAGGGCACAGCTAACTCACAGATAGAATTGGAATATCAGCATTTGGTTATATCCAACAAATTCCACCCACATGAGATGCCGTGCCCAGTAATCAAATCTAAGGCTCAAGAGGTAAGTGCACTACTGGTATTCGGTGCTTGATATTCTTAACAGGTATGTTACATGCATGTCCGTTTGATCAAAAATGCACTGACCTTCAGAAAGAAAGAAAGGATGGGTGTGTTGATATCTGCGCTGCCCTGCAAGGTCCACAATACATGCCTCTAGACCATCAGGCTCAATTTTCCAGTGATGCATCTCAACTCCTACAGTACTATCATCCTCTGACCAATCAGTAGCTTTAGATTTCACCAATGCTTTAGTCAGACATGTTTTTCCAGCCCCTGCTTCTCCAAACATCACAATCATCATGCGGTTTGAATGTACAGGCCTTTCCTTCTTCATGGATTCCAGATAGCCCTTGATACTGTCAATTCCCTCTTTGCCAATGCTTAATGGTGGTCTCTGTAAATATTCATTTCCATGAACAACAAACTGCACAGAAGAATCCATTTCAGTAATGGTCTCGGGAAGGCAGGTTAGCTTGTTATCAAAAACATTAACAACCTGAAGGCTTAGAATCTTGCTAATTTCTTCCGGTAAATACTTCAAATTGTTCTCCTTTAGCAAAAGAACTCTCAGTTCTTGAAGTTGTATAACCTTAGGAGACAGTTTTGAAATTCTGTTGTTGTTGGCAGACAATTTCTTAAGGTGTATTAAGTTAAAAACTTCATCAGGAAATTCTTCCAGGAAGTTGTCATTCAGCCTGATTCCTTCGAGCTGTCGTAGGTTTCCTATTTTAGGTGGTAGATGATCCAGCTTGCATTCAATAAGATACAAATCCTTCAATCTTGGAAGATCAAACAGCTGTTCTGGAAGTCCTCCAGAGAAGTCATTCTGACTAAAATCTGCTTCCAGAAGGTTGATGAGGCTACTTATATTAGTCGAAATGGATGTCAACCCACAGCTGTTTAAGTAGAGCTTTTCCAGGTTCTTTAACTGACAAATCTGTTCTGGAAACACTGAAAAGCTATTGTGTTGCAGATTAAGCTCTGTTAGGCTCTGGAGTTGGCCAAAGTCCCTTGGTAAGCAAGTCAGGCCTGATATTCTGTGGTTATCTCCAAAGAGGCAGAGCTTTTTAAGGTATTTCATGTTACAGAAGCTGTTTGGGATTTTACAATCTTCACCTGGAATATCTTCCAGGGAATGTGATGGCATTCTAATAACCTATGGACAAAAGATGTAACTTTTGTTTTTCTTCAAGCTAATATTTATCGGAAAAATATATGAGTTCTAAAAAGGTCTTTTCCAAGATGTGCAAGCACTTGCAAAGGTAACATCTGCTCAGATTTAAAAATAAGGCATTTTTGGGATAAGTTTTACAGAAAATTGTACTTTTTTTGCAGGAAATAGCTTGCTTCTGACAAAATATTAAATTCTTCAAAGGTTGTAGAAATCAGCACATATAACTCTATGTTTTCCAAAGGTTTCTTTTGAAAACTGGGCACCCAAAAATTTTTTTTACATCTGCATTATATTTATGAAAGTAGTCATGCATCTTGGAAATTGTGTATTACTGACCTGTAGATTATTAATGGATGTGAAGTCTGGGAAGTATGTAACAAGATCATAGTTTGTGAGGTCTGCCGTGACCAAGCCATTGATGGTTCTGGCTTCAGGCTTGCTGTTTGGGTCTTTTACTATGACAAAGTCATTTTCTTCATCACTTTCAGATGCCATCCTTTGAGTCCAACATGTATGGTATATAGAAAAATTTTATTTGTAAGCAGAAAAAATAATAGTGAGAATGAAGGTGAGAAAACAATGTTTTTAAAATAAATTCCTATTTTTTAAATTCCGTAGTAAATTATCTATGAAGCCTTTAGTTATTACGTTTGGTAGCTAAGAAACTAGATTTAAGGTCCCAAATGGATCAAAGTGAGGTATGCAACAAATTCTTAATGTCTTTTCTTCACAAGGCAACAACTAGCCAGTTCGACAGTTTGCCAGTTTAATCATATAATGTACTTTATGGCCAACTGACATGCTTTTTCAGGGCTTTAATTGACTGATTGCTTTCGAGTGTTGCTGTTGGGTAACTGTCAGTGATCTTGAAATATATTGCTCATTAGTTTGAATTCGTTGTTCTTGGGCATAAACATGTTTTTGGCTCTTCTCTCAGAGCTCATTTTAACCTTTCCCACAGATCAGGGTATAAGGAGCCTGAGTTCGGCCAAAAGCATAGTAACACCCATGAACTTCAACGCTGAATATAACTATTATATTTTAATATTGCATACCAGCGGCACAATGAAACAGTTTTAATGGCATATAGCAACTATGCAGTCTTATATAAGTACACAATATAACTACAGATGTAAGTAAAAGCTCATTAAATAATAATAATAATATAAAGTTTTTAACAAACACATCATACAACGTCTCAATGCTTTTTACAACAGGACCAGACGGATATCAAGTTTGTGGAAAAAATTTCAAAAAAAGTCAGTTACTCCTGGTGAATAGGTAGTGTTTTAGTGCAGATTTAAACTCTGGAACTGAACTTGAGTACTTAATTGCATCAGGGAGATTGTTCCAGAGTGCTGGTGCAGGTTAAAACATATTACTACTCTCTTCATTGCTACACGCTGATTGAGTAAACCGTCACTGCAGGGAAGTTGGGCAATACACTTCTGTCAATCAAATAAATTGGTCGGTACCTTTATATTCTCTGATTAGTGGCAGTGTATTGCCCTATTCCATTCCCTGTTGCAACTGTTGTCTTGATCAGTGCGTAGCAGTGAAAAGAGTGGTAAGACAACCAAAGTTTCCTCTAAAGTTTTTATTTAGGATTAATAGCAACAATCCGAATCTTAGTAGCTCAGCTCAGGGTCCTAAATGATTTAGGAAGAATATTTTTATTCCAAATGAAGCAAAGACAAACTTCGGTACCACTTCCAATGCTACAAGGGATTCCCCTCCAAAACAATTCTGTGATTACTTGATGCATGAAAAATTCACTCATAAATTTTACTTTCACTTTACTAAAGTGACCGTTTTCTTTGCTAAAATAATGTAATAATCAGCTCTCCAAGTAGATAGGATTATGGCAAGCTGCAACTGAAACGGAAATCTTTCAAAAACAAACTTATATTAGGACTTGAACGTTATTGTACAGATTTGCAAATTATTCATATGGCAATGATCATAGCTGTGGTGGTAACGTATGGCAATATTGTGCCTAAGCCAGCATTTTGTCAATCAACCATCGGAAAATACAGTAATTTTTCAACTTACAGTATTGCGAGATTACCCATCTCAAAGGTGCATAGGACTTCTAGAAAGGAAATATTTAGTCTATGAACCCGGCTATGAAGCAATACATTAAAATGTCTTGAAGGAAATTCTAGAAAATCATTAAGTGAGACTTCATTAATTTAGACATTGTCACTCTATCCACTGAGGTTAACTTACCTTACGATGAAAACCAAGGCATTCAGAAACACAGAGATAGCAAACAATGTTCTAAAAACCCACCCGTTTAGACATCACGGGTTAGTAAAGAACAAAGTACAACAGTTATTTCTGAGAAACGGCTAGGCTCGTTCACTCACCATCAGCTCGAAGTTCCACTTCCTGTATCATATAACACAATGTGTCATTGGTTTGTTGAAATTTCTCTCCATTTTGACCAATCAACATCATCGTAAGATTCTCTGGGTGGAATTATGACCGCATATTCCAGATACAGTGGGCACCAATAACCGCCATTTTGTTTTGGAGTCGGCCGAGAGGGCCCTGGGGACGAGGTTGAACAGTACGTTAACAAGAAAAAAAGAAGTCGAGATGAGAAAATTTCTTATGTTACTGAGGAAAAAGGCAATAAAAATATTTTCGATTAAAATCACAGCTCCAAGAAACTGATCTTAGCTTTCACCTTACTTTATGTAACACAACCTCTCATTGGATGATATTCGGCCTTACTTAACCCAGCTCGACCAATCAACAACGTTGTAAGATCCCGGTTGAGGTGAACAACCGCATACTAAAGATACAGCGGGCTTCTAGTTTTCTTGTAGCTATGGCAACAAGGAGTAAGAAGTTGTGAGAAGAGAAAATAGTAATCAACTAGAATAACTGAAGAAAATCACAAGAATTCCATACAAAAAGCCTAAAGATGAGTGCTTATGACAGGAAAATTCGTTCTCCGGTAAATAAATTCACTTCTTTTTCAGTATAATCTGTGATTTTTGCTTTTTTTTGCTAAAAAGATCAACCGTACACATGAAGATACCTCAAATTGATTTTGCAATGGAATTCTATTCTTTTCTTTTTGACTATATGAAATTACCGTATTGCTATTGTGAATATAGGTGGCTGCTTCTAAAGACAATCCAGCTACGGATCCAAGACAAATGCGAAGGATAATAGCAGAGGATCCTGACTGGTGAGCATACGCTATATTCGAGTTAGGCACAGTATCGACGAAATCTCGAATAACCGATAGTTAGGCTGCGTTCGTAATGTATGGCAGAGGTAGGGGGGGAGGCAGGGGAAAATTTGAAATGTCCAGAATAATTCTTAACACCTTCCTTAAGGTCATGCAAAAAAATACGATCCCCCCTAAGCAAGGCTTGTAGCTTCTTCCAACAATTGTGCATCCCCTTCATTTATCTGATAAAAATTTGCTGATCCCCCCTTTTCCCTACCAAAATTTTCCCGATCCCCCCTTAATTTCACCTGCCCCCCCCTCTGCCATACATTATGAACGCAGCCTTATCAAAGATAGATACTATAGGGTATATATCATTCACTAGACACCTTACTAGATTATGTCTGTTTCTTCTATTTAACCAATAAAAACAGCTTTTTCCATGCTCCTTCAGTAATACACTCTCACTTCTCACACTTCTTGAGTGCTTACACGCTTCCTAAGTGCTTTATTACTGCACGGAGCACGTAAAAAGCTGTTTTATTCGTGTTATTACATAGTTACTAATTATATTTCGGTATTATATTTATTTACGCAATAAGAAAGACGGTCACAGGATCACTAATACTTCTGCCTGAATATTTCTTCCAGTGTAACTCTAGACAATATCTTAACAACCTGTTACCTGATTGTATTTTAGGAGCCTTGCTACTGTCCCATTACTTACAGAACTCTGTATAAAACATATTGTTCAAAATTTTGAAGGTAAATAATGCAAAATGGAAAATGTTGTAGATAATGGTCAAATTCATTTTGACCAGTCAATTTCTTTCTGACTTGTCATTCTTTTGATATAAGTGGGGGGAATATATGAGGGCATAGCAATTGCTGCTTTTTAGATTTTATACCGAAATTCCAATTTTTTTTCGAACTTTGAATGTGAGAATTCAATGTAAAACGTAAGGCTGGTTCAGCTGGCCGTTTGCCTTTTTTTTTGATTTGCAGTCTCGGGTTTATAAATGAAATGGTAATTTTAATATTTTGCTACCCCCTCCTCCACCCTGTTTGGAAAATTCTGGCTACCCTCCCGATATAAGACTGTGATAACTGAGCCTAAATTCATTTTGATTTACTAGATCATCCTATTCTTGATGGCCTTCTTCCAAAACACAAAAGTAAAGTATTAGAAGCATTATCTACAGGAATATCTATGAAGTAAGTTCTTAGTTTTTACAGTTGATTTATTCTAATAAAATATTCTAGCTTATAGCAACTGTAATATTGCTTTTGTTGGTACTGGGGATATTTTCTTTATTTCAAACCCTTGTGGATAAGATTCAATTGTCTCAGTTTCATATAGTAATTCATCATATGACCCGTATCTGCCCAGGCAAGTGCTCTTAAAAACCTTCGGGAAAACGACATGAGCAGGTCCGTATGGCTTTGAGTGAGCAGGGCCCTACAAATCCGTACAGCCTTGCTCGAAACCTGTGACCATATTGACATAATTTGCAACTTTTAAAATATCTTTTGTTTAGGGTCATATGATAAAATGCTTATTGACGGAGTTAGGTCAGGCTGTACGTGAAAATGTTTGGCTCTCGGTCATTTGTACRGACCTCGCTGCGCTCAGTTTGTACGGCATCACCTTGAGCCAAATATTTTCCCGTACGGCCCTCCCACTCAGTCAATAAGTACATAGTATTTCTCAATTGTCACCAAAAAATATAAAAGATAATTCTTAGGTAATGACACATATGGTCTGAAATGAGGGAAAAAGTTCATATCCAGGCAAACTAAACGTCATCTACTTATAGCAGGGGAAGCAGAGCACCCTAAAAAGCGTGGGGGGAAGGGGGGGCTAAGATTGAGAGTGGTAGGAAAAAGTGTGGGGAGCTAAGGATGGAACATATAAGAGACTAGTATGGGGAAAGGGAAAAAGAGGGGTGCTGTAGACCCCCATGTGCCCCGCCGGCCCCTGTACAGTCATTATTACATAATTGTGCTTCTAAATCTTTACTCATACAAATTAAGGGCCCTTAGGAAATGTGCTGTAATTGGTTTAATTATTGTGAATTATGTGTATTTCACTATGCAACCTGTAAAGTAAAGGCATCGATTAATCCTTTTCAGAGTCACCTCCAGCTTAGTATCTGATGAAGGTTATTGGAAAAAGTGTTGTAAGTCTCGATGGGAAGTTTGTGATGTTGCGAAGCATGGTAATAGCTGGAAGAGGATGTATTTTGAAAGAAATTTAGAAGGTATACCATAGATTTATGGAACCAGTAGTGTTTTGACCTTCAATTTTATAGAAACCCCCTGAAACAAACTCTGGGCTGATTAAAGTAAGGGTACAGCTATAACTCACAGAATCAGAACCCTGAAACAACAACCGGGATGATGAAGGTCAGGGCACGGCTAACTCACAGATAGAACCCTGAAACGACCTCTGGGCTGATTAAAGTCAGGGCACTGCTCACTTGAACAGATCGAACCCTGAAACAACCTTAAGGCTGATCTAAGTCAGGTCATGGCTAACTCACAGATCAAACCCTGAAACAACCTCTGGGCTGATCTAAGTCAGGGCACGGCTAACTCACAGATAGAACCCTGAAACAACCTCTGGGCTGATCTAAGTCTGGGCATGGCTAACTCGCAGATAGAACCCTGAAACAACCTCAGGGCTGATCAAAGTCAGGTCACAGCTAACTCAAAGATTGAACCCTGAAACAACCTCTGGGCTGATTAAAGTCAGGTTACAGCTAACTCAAAGATGGAATTGTAATTTAAGCATGTTTATGGGGGGAGGAAAACCAAAGAACCCACTTGGAGAAATAAACTATTGAGAGGGAGTGACCTATCAAACTCTAATATATGGAACGTTGAGTATGGGAATCAAACCCAAGACCTCAGAAATGAGAGACAAGTTACAGTAGTTATGCTTTCATCTTACTAGCAGTTCTAAGAAACCTTTCTCCTTTACCTTTTACAGGAATTATTGAAAGCTTTGTTCCAGAAACTACAGATCCCATGCTTGTATGTTAGGTTTATCAAATTCACTAATTATTCCTTAATCCACTGCACATACACTCAATTCAAAAAACATTGTCATCGCCAAAGGTGATAGGCGATAGGTCATTCCGACATAGAAATGGTTTCGTTGAATACTACAAAGAACATCAAATTAGTCTCAGCACTAAGGTCCATACTCTTGACGAGAAGAAGAAGAAACACAAGTCATTCCAGCTATTCTTGGATCTTGGAATGACATATATTATATCCTATCGCTTTTCACCTATCGCCTATTGCCTATTGCCTTTGGAGATAACAACGTTTTTTTGAATTAGGCGTATATTTCTAAGAGCTGACCAGGACCATAATAACCAAAACAGGAGAAATAGCATTAGATATAAAATTGTATAAAATAACTTTTCCCATACCAATCTTTGTAAAACATTTGATTTTATATTTAATGTCATTTCTTCTGTAGTCAACATTTCGAGCTGAAACTTCACCCTTTTACTAAATTTGAGGTGCTCTTGTCATATCTGGAGTTTATTTTGATTCATTTGCGCATATTAAGGGGGACCGGGTCATGTGACCTCTTAGACAGTGCAAGTCGTCAATTAATACCAGACTTGCCTATTGTCTAACTGTTACATGCACATTGTATTACAGTTATATGAAACCCTCAAGCTGTCAGCAGCATATGTTAAGTCACTAACCATAAAACAACTGTTACCTCCTGTCAAAGAAGCACCACTGAAAGATGATGATGCATCTGATGCGTAAGTAAAGTAACACAACCCACCTTCAAAACAATCTTTAATTTTTTATCAATAGCTTGAAAAAATGTCTGAGCTCATCAAAGTCAGTGCATGGCTAACTCACAGATCGAACCCATAGAACAACCTCTGGGCTGATCTAAGTCAGGGCATGGCTAATTCACAGATCAAACCCATA